CTTTTTGCGCCGCACTCTGTCCGTCGGGGCGCTGCGTTCCGGATCACATGTCGCAGAAGAGCAGGGTCACCTGGCTCAGGGGCACATCGCGCATGCCCTCGCAACGGAGGGTCTTGGTGTCCGGATCGTACTGCTCGAAGAGCAAAGTCTCCCCGTCGACGGTCTCCACGCTCTCTACGCCGTAGGGCGCAGGGTCGGCCGTGAGCAGCGCCTCGAAGTTGCTGATGATCTCGCGGCTGCCTTCAGACCACAAGCCGTAAAACCCGTTGAGCAAGGTGGGGGCCTCCAAGAGCAGAGTGACCCGCGTCACCTTGGCGATGCTGCCGTCGACCTTGAAGGCCTTGCCGCTGCGGCGGTCATCCACCATCTCCGGGACCACATTCTCGAAGATCTGGGGCGTGCCCAGCTTGCGGCTGTCCTTGAAGAGCTGCAAAGTGGCCCTGAACCCCAGCCTCTCCAGGACCTGCCCGGCGTGGAAGAGGTCGCCCGAAACCCGACTGAGGATTTTGTCGGTGATCTCGACGTCGAAGCCCTGCTCGCCGAAGATGCGGACGGTCTGGGCGGGCTCCTCGTCTGCGGGCTCGGCGTCCTGGATGGCAAGCAGCTCGGCGGGCTCCGTTTCGGCTCGCGTCGAGCTGTCCTCAAAGTCCTCGGGCTTCTTCTCGGCAGGCTGCTGAGGGGCTGGCTCCTCGGCTGCTGCCGGCTCGGCGGCGGGCCAACTCTCGTCGTCGGTCAACTTCAGGCGCAGCTCGGCGAAGTGGCTCGGCACCTGAGACCGGTCCTCCGGCTTGATCACCACTCGGAAAGCAGGCATGCCCAGCATGTCAATGTGATGCTCGCGGCCAGTAGCCTGTGCACATATGAACACGACTATCTCCAGCAGCTCGGGAAAGGGCTTGCCGGCCCGCAGGTAGTCGAGCATCTTCTCGACATCCTTGACAACGTAGTGGTTGGCCGACTGGTAGCTGCAGCGCATCCCGCGGATGGTAACCTGCATGCCATCCGGGATAGGGTCGTTGTAAACCCGTATTTTGAGATTGTGTATGTCAAGCTCACTTTGCAAGGACTGCAGCAGTCCCGCCGGTGGCTGAGGGCCGGCTGGCGGCGCCGGTGGCTGAGGCACTGGCTCCGCGGGCGCTGCTTCGACCATGGGTGCGGCTGAAGGCTCGGCAGGCTGCTCGAAGGTCAACTTCAGGCGCAGCTGAGCGCAGGTGCTCGGCACCTGGGAGCGGTTCTCCGGCTTCAACTGCATTCCATAGAAGGTACCCAAAGGGGGGCTCGTCGACTCAATGCACAAAACGATCTCCAACAGCTCGGGAAAGGCCTCGCCACCCCGCAGGTAGTCGAGCATCTTCTCGACTTCCTTGACAATGTAGTAGTCGGCCACCAGGTGGCTGCAGCGCACCCCGTGGACCAAAATCTCGGGAAGCTGCTCGTGCGCCGCACTTACTGGCTCAGGGGAGGGTGGCTTGGGGGCTGGTGGCGCCGGTGGCGGCTGCTCCGCGGGCGCTGCCTCTGCAGGCGCTGCCTCTGCGGGCTCCATGGCTGCCGGCTGGGCTGCTGGCTCGGCGGCCTCCTCGGTGCGTCGGCGCTTCGGCTCCTTCTTGAGTGGAAGGTCCAGCCTCTCGAGCATCCTCACGGGCAGCCACAGGCGGATAAGCGCGGAGCTAGGAAGCGCCTTGCCGCCATCCTTGGGAGACCAGCAAGGTCTAATGGTGTGCAGCTCCACGTAGCGCTTGTTGCCCGGCACGTAAGCCATGGCCTTCTGAATCCCGAACGGCACCACGCAGCTCGGCGAGAAGGCGTCCACGTTCGAAAACTGGACCACGATGTGCTCGAGCCCCACCATCGAAAGGCGGCAGCCGATCTGCTCGCCAAGCTGGAACTTCCCGCCGAGGTCGTGGCCCTCGAAGCCCTCCAGCTTGACGCCCGCCTTCACCAGGACGTCGTCCACGATGCGGTCGTCCTCCTCCATGGTCAGCCCGCCGCGGAGGTGCCGTCGCTCCTTCGCGCTGGAGCTTGGCGGCCTCCTTGGCAGCCTCCTTGGCCTTCTCGCGCTCGCGCTTGGTCGCCTGCTTGGCCAGCTCCCTGTGGTGCTGGCTGCTGCCCTCGGCCCCGAGGATGCGGTCGAGCTTCTGCTCGATGCGGCCGACGCCGTCCTTGATCTCGCCCTGGCCCTGCTTCAGCTCGGCCTGGCCCTGCTTGAGATCCCTCGTGTTACTGAGGGTCTCCTTTGCAACCTTCTTGCGGTGCTCCATGCCCTCCTTGCGCTTGGCCTCCAGCTCGGCGAGCTCCCGCTTGCACGCCTCGAGCTCCTCTGCGGTCAGTTTGCGGCCGCGGCAGCCTTTCGTCGCGGAGCGCATGTGGCCGGTCTGCACCTTGAAGCGGAGCGTCTGCAAAGATCCCTTTCCGGGCACGTGCTGGCTCGGCATCGCGGCCACTCTGAAGGCTGCGGCGATTTCGGAGATCAGCGAATTGCTGCGGAATGAAATTTCTAAGAGGCAGCAGGGGAGAAGCGAGCAACCGAACGAGCTTGACCTGTGGTGCACCTGTGGTGCACCTGTGGTGCACCCCTAGGTTTTGGGGAGGCCCCTATAGAAGGGTGCCCAGCGTCCGGAGCAATCGTGCCAACCGAGCTTTTGTGGTGCACCCCTGCGTTTTGAGGAGCCCCCTATAGAAGGGTGCCCAGCGTCCGGAGCAATCGTGCCAACCGAGCTTTAGTGGTGCACCCCTGGGTTTTGAGGGGCCCCCTATAGAAGGGTGCCCAGCGTCCGGAGCAATCGTGCCAACCGTGGTGCACCTGTGGTGCACCTGTGGTGCACCTGCGGCGGTGCATCACCCCCGGCCCATGTTCCGAATGGTCCGTAGGTCTGGTTCCGCCTCACGGCCCGTGGGCCCAATGGTCCGGGCACGAAGCCCCAATGCTCGCCCTCGGGCCCAATGCTGCTCCGCAGAGCAAATGCGTGCGCCCCCAGCTAATTTAAGCCCCTCGGTCCCCTATATAATAAAGGGGAAAAGGTGGCTCCAAGGAGTTTTTTATTCCAATCCGGGCCCTTGGGCCCAATGCTGCTCCGAAGAGCTGATGGTGCTCCGTGGAGCTGATGGCGCTCCGTGGAGCCTATCGTGCACCACACGATCCCATTCCTCGATCCGTCGCGGCCTGCCTGTTGTTTTGTCGCGTCGTCGGTGTGGGGTCCTCGGCTTAGCCCCTCGCCATCTCCAAGTGTTGTGCCGGGAGGAGGGCCCGGGACTCGCGCGGGCTGCTCCCGCTCGGCCCCCCTCCTCGGCTTCTTTGGGGTCCTATAGGCTTAGCCCCTCGCCATGACGCTTGTGCCGGGAGGAGGGCCCGGGACTCGCGAGTGGTGCTCCCGCTCGGCCCCCCTCCTCGGCTTCTTTTGGGGTTCTCGGCTTGCCCCTCGCCATTCCGATGCGCACGGCGGGGCCAGGGGGGACCGGGACTCGCGAGTGGTGCTCCCGCTCGGCCCCCCTGGCCCCTCTTTTTCACCGTCGCGTGAAGTCGCGACGCCCCAGCGGCGGCGGCTGCACCTGGGGGCCGCGGAGGGGGCCGGGGATCCCGGATGCAAGGCAGCCTAGGGGGACCCCAAGGGGTTCGGGACCTAAAAACCCCCAGAACCCCAAAACCCTCAGCAGAAGCCCTCGCGCCTGCACTCTAGACCTGGCAGCCTGAGGAAACCCACGCCTTCCAACCTTCGAAATGACCCTGAACCAAACCCGAAGCCTTGCGCGCACAGTCCACTGCCTCGCTGCCTAGGAAATCCAAAAAACCGCCTCGGAACACCCTGAAGCCTAGGGGGGAGTGCCCGGCACGACGAGGAGACGGTCCGGACCTGGGCAAGTAGGGGAGGAGCAGGGGGCGGGGAGGGAGCGCAAACCACAAGCACGCACAACACTGCCTCGCAACCTCGGAGCCCCAAAGACCTGCAAACCGAACAAACCCTGAACCTCGCGCGCACAGACACTCCTACCTGCACTCCTAGTGGCGACCCTCCTACGGCTACACTGCGGGAGCCCGGCCGCGAGCGAAGATGCAAACCATAAATTTTCCTGTGTGGCACTGCGTGCATGTGAAGACTCGAACGACGGAGGCTTTGGTTTCAAGTGAAAAAGTGAAGTTTGCTGCCGCTTTACATGGTAGCGGAGCACGTCGGTCCACGGGACTGAGTGCTCGGTGGCCAGGACCCTAGCCACCTGTGTTGTGGCCAGGACCCAAGCCACGTGTGTGTGTGTAGAGTAGTGCCCAAGTGTGTGACGGCCCGCTTGCCATAGTTTCGACTGTGCCTGGCGGCTGTGCGCTCCTCCTCAGTGTCTACTACAACCGCTGCGGTCACGGCGACCTTGGCGGGGTTGGAAAGCTTCAAGGGAGCCTTGAGCGAGTTTGCGGTTGAACAGGTGTTGGAGAACCACCGTGTGGAGCGTCCCGACACCATTAGTCAACGTGCCTGGAGCAGAAAGCAGACCAGGGAGATCGAACGAGCCCATACGCGTATTCAACTGTGTGAAACCTTGGATCAGTTGGTTAACTACGCAGCGACTCTCCTTTCTCCGGACAACCTAGAGGCATTCCTGTTTCTGAATTTGTCGGAGAGAGACCCTGAAGAGCCGTTGTTCCTCCCGAACCACCTGGTTGAGTCTACGGTACACCCGGTAGAAGACCACCCTCCGTTGCCAGCCAACCTAGACACCTTGGTGTTGGAGTACGAAACCCAGCAGCACGACAAGCATCTAGAAGAACTACTCAAGAACGACTTCGGCATCATCCTTGGTGGTGGTACACGCGAAAATAAGAAGAGAACCTTTGAGGGATCTCTTAAGGCTGCACCGGCTGCTGTCATTGACCTGGATTAGGCGTGATGGCGACTTCAGGATCTGCGGACCCTGGACCTCAACTACCACAACCTCCCCAAGGGAGCAATCCGTTTCAGGGAACACCGGTGAGCCCTACGAGTCCTAGTCAGCAACCTTTCGAGCGAGTTCTAGAGATGCTGACAGCGTCGGTTCTGCAGAGTGCTGAGAATTCCCAGCAGATGAAAGAGACTCTTGAAGCCTTGACCAGACGTACTTTGAATGAGAGTGGATCGACTCAGTCTGGTATGTGGTCTCGTGTGATCAACAAGCCAGATGTCTTCAAGCCAAAGGACAGGGAGGAAGAGCTCTCCCAGTTTTCAGAGTGGTCGTGGCAATTCAAACAGTATGTGCGCGTGATCTGTCCAGGGATGCATAAGTTGCTTGAGAGCGTGGAGTCGGATCTTGATGACAGTAACGTGCACTCGGAGATGTCTGCAGAAACAGTGGATTTGTCAAAGCAGCTGTACGCCTTGCTTGCTAGTTTGCTGAGAGAGCGTCCTGTGCAAATCTTGAAGGCCATCCCAGATGGCAATGGATGCGAAGTGTGGCGGACCTTGGTTCGCACCCTGGCGCCTAGCAACAAAGCTAGGTCGTTGGCGCTGCTTGGAGCAATTTCTCAGTTTCCAGCAATGACAAATTCCAATTACCATGAGCAGATTTTGAAGTTGGAAGAGTTGTGCCGTAAGTACAGTCAGTCGTCTGGCAAAGAAGTGGATGTGGAGTTGAAAGCAGCTATTCTTTTGAGATCGCTGCCGGCAACTTTGCGTACACATGTGAGCGTGAACTGCAGTGAGAGTGCTACGTATGAAGAGCTTCGAGAAGTAATTCTTCGTTATGAGCGAGCAACCCAGAAGTGGACCACCCAGTTGGTTTCAGGTACAACTCTACCTCCTGCTGGTGATGGTGCTGTGCCTATGGATGTTGACATGGTGAAAGGAAAGGTTGGTAAAGACAAAGGCAAAGGTGGGTGGAAGCATTACAACAACAACCCCAAAGGGAAGGACAACAAAGGCAAAGGAAAAGACTACTCCCAGTACTACCAGAAGGGCAAGCAAGGAAAAGGCAAAGGTGGTTACAAAGGAAAGGACCATAAAGGGAAAGGCAAAGGCTACAACCACGACAACTCGAAGGGCAAGAGCAAAGGCAAGACCAACGTTCCCTACAACAATTGCAAGATTTGTGGTAAGCCAGGTCATTGGAGCAATGAGTGTTGGATGAAGAAAGTGAACCAAGTGAACAACAACCCTGGAACCCCAAATGTGCCTCAACCACCTGCGGCTCCTGGAGGATCCACGAGTACAACTGCGACTACCGCCACGGTGAAGCGTGTGTTCAACTTGGCAGACGACACAGATGCAGTTCAGTTTCCGGTTGCAGGGGATTTGGTTGGTGGCTTTGAAGAATCGTGGGATGATGAAGAGTGGTCTGAGTGGTGGTGCTATCATGTCACCGCTTCGGAGTGCGAGTACTATGACATGAGCACGGAAGACAGCTCTGAAGAAAACTGGACGTACGATGACACAGCAGTTTCCGTGTTCGACATGACCATGTCTGATGCCCTTCCAGGTGATGAAGATTGGGTCCAATGCGATTGGGCCAAGACCTACGTGCAGATGGTACAACAGGGACCATCTGAAGGCTGGACCAGTGAAGGGATCAAGGTTGAAGTGGTTCTTGATTCAGGCGCTGATGTTAGTGTGATGCCAGAGCAGTGGTTGCAGATGGATGTGGGGCAGAATGCACCGGGTGAGCGCGTTCTCATGAGGGATGCACAAGGTCGTGAGATGCCGAATCTCGGCACTCGTAATGTGTCGTTAGATCTTGGCCAAGCAGTCCTTCATGAGCGCTTTCATGCATCATCAGTGGCGACCCCTTTGCTGAGCCTGGGTCGACTGTTGAGGAAAGGATGGAGTTTGAACCATCGCAACAACATGTTGTGCTTGTGCTTCGAGGATGTGGCAGTTCCGGTGAGTTTTCGGAGAAATTCATTGGTGGTGGAAGCTACAGTGCACAATGTGGAAGCAAGTGACATGAGCCCAATCATTGAAGAAGTTGTCGAAGAACCCAGCTCTCCACTAGAAGTACGGCCATTGCTAGAAGGGCGACGCCACTATGCTGCGTTTGATTTCAACCCTGATGCTCTCTCCACATCTGAGGCTGGTGAGCTCGATCCACGTGGTCGACGGTGGCTATTTCTGCCAACGGGAGACCCGGTTTGCCTCTCTGTGGGTTTGAACTTTGTTGACCCTAGTGCTATGATGAACACTGCGCTTTGGAAATTTCGGACTACAGTCGTGAAGATTGCTGAGCGTTGGGAGGTTTTGGAGTTACACCAGGATTTGACCTCAATGTCAACCATGAGTGGTGCTCTGTCAGCGCTGGATGATTCTCTTCCTGGAGTGATGTATGAGAGCCTGACCATGACGGTGATGCACCGAACAATCGTGGAGCCCGAGAAGTTTGGATTTCATGTGAAGCCCGAGGCACCAAACCCTTTGCTGGATGAACCTCTGCCTCAGGTACCTCCGGAACCAATACGAGCTGATGAAGGGATGCCGGATGGTGCCAACGACTCCAATGCGGAGGATGAGCAGCCCGGCGCGCAACCTGTGTTGCCTGGGGTGCAGCTAGAGAAGCCTATTCCAGATGAGATTGACGTTGAAGGCAAGAGGTTGACTGCGGAGTCCCCAGCGGCTGAGTTGAAGTTGGCATGCCGTGCGTTGGGTATAGGTGCTACGGGGTCCAAGAATGTCCTGTACAAGCGGTTGGTGAAACACGTGTGGCGTAGGAAGATGGAAGATGACTTAGCTCTGTTTGAAGCTGCGAAACTACCAGAACGCAATCCTCGCTCGTCTCCAGTTCCTACAGAACCATCTCCTGAAGAAGTTGCCAAACATCGGCTAACCCACGTACCTTACCAACCATGGTGCCCGTTGTGCGTGGCGACAAGAGGAAGAAGGGATGCTCATCGAGGTGATGAGGCTCACCGCTCTGCTGGCGGTTGGCCAGTCCTGTGCATGGACCTCATGTATGCCTCTCTGGAAGGTTCAGTATGCGAGTTCATGAAGCAAGCCCCAGCGAGCAAAGAGAAGAAGTTGACTGTGTTGGTGTGCGTAGATCGGGATACTGGGATGATTCATTCAGTGCCTCTTCCTGGAAAGGATACTACAGCTTTACAACATGCTGCCAAAGAAGTTCTTGGGTTTCTGTCCTACCTTGGTAGGACTGAAGTGGAGATCAGGGGCGACAATGAACCACCGATGGTAGCCCTGTGCGATAAGGTCGTGGAAGCTCGAAACAAAGCCGGTTTGTCAACCCGCAAGACTCCTTCTCAACCCTATGAACACCAGACCAATGGAGCAGCTGAGCAAGCAGTCTTGAGCATGCGGGACATTGGCAGCACTCTCCTACAGCAGGTTGAGCAGAGTGGATTTGCCCCCAGTTTGAACCCCGAGTTGATCCCGTGGGCCTATGTGCACGCATCGACTTTGCATAACTGCTTTTCAGTGTCTGCGGGAACCACACCTTATGAGCGCGCCTTTCAGGTGAAGTACAATGGACGGCTGGCGATGTGGGGCGAGACGATGCTGTTTGCTATTTCCGAGCCCCATCGACGTAAAGGCCGGCCGAAGTTTGCGAAGGGCGTGTTCTTGGGTAAAACCATGTTGAATGACCTCAACATTTGTGGCACAGCGTTGGGAGTATATTTGTCGTCAACAGTCAAGCGTCTTCCAGAAGCACAGCAATGGGACAAAGTGTTACTCAAAGAAGTTCAAGGTAAGCCTTGGAGGTACGGTTTGTCATCTATGGGGATGAAGATAGTACCTGGATTACGTGAACGCAAGCCGCGTCCAGAGCCCATGGCCGAACTACCTGTGCCTCTGCATCCATTACCTCCTCCTGGTGGATCAAGCCCAAGAGAGGAAGCTGCGTCTGACCCCACGTCAGAACCTGCGTCGCCTGACGCAGAGTCGGCTTCAGAGTCTAGCAGTGAACACCCAGGAGGGGATGCCAGAGGAGCTAAGCGAGATCGTGAGCCAGGAGGGGATGACGATGATTCGTCTCCTCAAAGCTTCCCTTCAGATCTGTTGAGTCCAGCTGCTGAGCCAGCTCCGATGGTTGTTGAAGAACGTGGGGAAAAGCGAGATGTCCCAGAGTCGTCTGGGAGTGACCAACCAGTCAAGAAAGTGCGAGCTGTACGAGTTGGTGACGTGGACTACTTCGTCGCGGATGAGGAGATGGAGGACTGGTGGCAAGGCTTGGAGTTTGATGCCCAGTACTATGATGATGATTGGATGGACTTCACACCAGAGACGGATCCAGAGGTGTTCTGGGAAGATCAAGGAGAAGAGGAAGGACCTCCTGTCCTTTCTGCAGACCAACTGGAGAAAGTGGAAGCCACATCGAGGCTGGACGAAAAGTCCAGACTCATTGACATGGGTGTGTTGGAGAAGGTGGAGATTGATCCTCCGGCGGACAAGACCTTGCAGTGCCGGTATGTGTATGACTGGCGGTTTAGGAAGCAGCACTGGTTGCGTCGCGCGCGGCTAGTGTGCAAGCAGCTGAAAGCATGGAGTCCGTTCAGGCAGGATACCTATGCTCCCTCGACATGTCCCTCGATGTTGCGTCTTCTACCTCACATGTTTGTGAGCACTCCAGGCTGGGTCTTGAGATCGTTCGATGTGTCGGATGCTTTCTTGATGGTGAAGCAGCGTGAAGAGTTGTACATCCGGTTGGACAATGAAGTTTACCGTGTCTGGAAATGTTTGCCGGGCCAACAACTTGCTCCTGTGTATTGGCATGATGAACTGAGTGGAGATCTTCAGGTTTGTGGCCTTACCGGCAATGTTGCATGCCCCGTTGTGTATGGTGGCAAAGATCAAGCTGCTACGGTCCATGTCGATGATGGACTACTTGGAGGTTTTGAGGATCAGGTCGACCAGACGGTTGGCGTGCTGAAAGAAAAGTATAAGCTTGAGTGCAGTCCCCCGCTGAAGGATGTTGGTGATCAGTTGAGGTTTCTCAAACGTACGCTGGAGGTAGTGCCAGAAGGACTGCGGATAGTGATCGATCCAAAGTATGTGGAGAAAATCCTCCAAGTCCTTGGGATTTCCAAACCTCGCTCCCGCAAGGTACCTTCGACTACAGACTTGACGGCCCTCGATGAGACGGAGAAGCTTGATGCTATGTGGACCGGGAGGTACAGAGCAGCTTTAGGATGCTTGTTGTATCTGGCTCCTGATCGACCTGATGCGCAGTACACGATTGGTGTGTTGGCTAGGGGAATGTCATCGCCTACAGCAAAGCAGTTGTCTCATGTGATGTACCTAGCAGAGTACTTGTACTACACCCGGGACTATAGCTTGGTTTTGCGGTGGAGCAGCCCAGGGCGATCTTATTTGGACGAAAGCCCACGTGTCAGGCCGAGGCTTGATGATGGCGGAGAACCTGGGCCGCCTGGTGGAACCTTGGAAGCCAAGCCGAGGTTGCGGGAGGCCGTAAGTGATGCAGACTGGGCAGGAAGTGCTGATAGGAGGTCGGTTACGTCGGGACACATATTCTTGGATGGGAATCTGATGTTCTCGTACAGTCGACGGCAGTCTACGATAGCATTGTCTTCATGCGAGTCGGAACTGATGGCCTCTACCTCTGCAATCGCGGAAGCACTTTTCCTGAAGAACCTTTTGACAAGTTTGACCAAGGACGCTGTGGACCTTGCTGCCCGGCTGGACAGCTCGAGTGCGCGCAGCCTTCTTACGAAGGCCGGTGTCTCTCGCATAAGACACCTCGATGTACGGCTGTTATGGACTCAGAGTTTGGTCCGTGAGAAAGTTTTGTCAGTGCGTCCAGTGGGTACTCTTGTCAACACCAGTGATCTCGGCACCAAAGTTTTGACCTCAAACAGGGTGAAGTATCTACTATGTTACTATACCTGTTGGGCATGTACAACACCGACGGCTTGATAACTCCGGGAAAGTTTCCAAAACCAGCAGGGTCAGATAAATCGCAGGCAGCTGAAATCCTTAGAGTTCTTACTGCGGCCATAGCCTTGAGTCGAGCTACGGCATCTGATCCCGAGCCGAAGTGCAACGTTCCTGCTGAGCCCTACGGTGTGGTCAGCGGGATCCTCACGGTGCTGACTGAACCGTTCTTCTATATGTTCATGCTTGCGGTCTCAGTCGTGGCGATCGTTGTGTTCATGGCACCAAAGCGACGCTGGAATCGGATCCGCTGTGTGGACCCTGATGTTGGAGGTGACCGAGAAATGAAGAAGGCAGCGCGAGAGCCTTCTCCAGAGCCGAACTACTTCGATGACAGTTGGCTGTTTGCTGCATCTGATGACGACGAGGGCGGTGCTACGGAAGCCTATGTGCAAAGTTTTGTGTATGAGCCAGAACCAAGAGGGCAGACCCCAGATCGACCTGGACCTTCTACAGGACCTCATGAACATGTTCGGGAAGGTGAGCATTCTGCCCGTGATCTACGTGATGATCAAGGAGTTCGACAGCAACGAGCTCAAGGATATGATCCCTGGGCTCAGGGAGTGAGCAGTCAAGGACCGGTGCCTATGCCGGTACAGACGGAACCAGCAATTCCAGCTGGTCGGGGAGATGAACATCCACCAGTTCCGGGACCAATGACGTTTCGGATTGGAAGTGGTCGTGCAGTACATCGGGCCTCTTGTGGAATGGTGAAGAGGGCCCAAAGGTTGGAACCAGAGAAGCTGATCCAGCTCTCAATTGCGGATGCACTCAATGCCGGTTTGAAGAAGTGTGGACAGTGCAGGCCTTGATGGATGTCATCTACATGTTCGAGATGAGTCGAGTCCTGAGTCGGTTCGACAATCTGACCTGAGCGTTTTTCGCGTAGCTCAGTTTCTTCGCAGAGGATAAGACGCTTTTAGGTTCGTGTATTGGACCGCGCATTTAAAATCCTCTAGCCGTCATGTGCAAAGCCTTTCGCAGTGTGTGTGCATAGTGTATAGTTTTCCGAGGTAAAAGCTCCGTACTTCTAGTGAACAAGAAAGGACCCCTAAGATGGTCAAAGTGCGGAGGCAGGCTGTTGTTTGGAACAGTGTAAAGTTGCCAGGACTAGAACAAAATGACGGAAGGCCCACCAGAAGGCCCCTGGCAAGTAGGTGTACTTGTACAGTTACCTACGATAGAGTTTTGGGAATCAGCAAGATCCGAATGGATATCAGCTGACCCGATACTGTCGGCATGATCCTACAACCACAGGTTTTAGGATCATGAGGAGGGGTGCAAACCATAAATTTTCCTGTGTGGCACTGCGTGCATGTGAAGACTCGAACGACGGAGGCTTTGGTTTCAAGTGAAAAAGTGAAGTTTGCTGCCGCTTTACAGAAGAGGACCTGGGCGGCGAGAGCAAGGAGGAGGGAGAGGGTCGGGGAGGGGAGCGCGCACAAACACTGCCTGGCAGCCTCGGAGCCCAAACCACCTGAAACCGAACAAACCCTGAACAAACCCCGAAGCCTCGCACGACAGAGCACTCCTACCTGCACTCCTAGTGGCGACCCTCCTACGGCTGCACTGCGGGAGCCCGGCCGCGAGCGAAGAGGACTTGGGCGGTTAGAGCAAGGAGGAGGGAGAGGGTCGGGGAGGGGAGCGCACACAGACACTGCCTGGCAGCCTCGGAGCCCCAACCACCTGAAACCGAACAAACCCTGAACAAACCCCGAAGCCTCGCACGACAGAGCACTCCTACCGGCGACCCCTCCTACCGCAGCACTCTGAGTTCCCAGCCGCGCCCCGCCCGCCCCGACCGCCCGCCCCACCCAGCCCGCCCTCCCCGCCCCCCCGGCCCGGCTTGAAGCAAAAAGGCAGAAGGAGCACAGAGTTGAAGCAGCAGCGGCAGAAGCAAAAGGGGGTCGGGACCTAAGGCAGGGACGAGGGGTTCGGGCTCCTACGGGGGTGGGGCTCGTCGCGCACTCACTTGCATGCAGGGCACTTGGCTGGCACTCCTACCGGGGGTGCCGAAGGGGTTAGGGACCCCGAACTCCCGGAACAAAACCCCCTAAACCAGCCCACCCCCAGCACCCTTTTTCAAACAACCTCAGAACGCCACCCCTCGGTACCTGCCACCACCCAAACGGATCCTGCTTCACCACCCTGGCCTATGCCGAAGGATTTGAAAGTAATTATAGTTATAGGAAATAGCAGGGTCCGTTTCGGCGGCGCAAGGTGGCTCGTGGCACACACTCAAAAGAAGTCCGACACATAGCCTTCGAAAGCACCGCCGCCGGAGCCACCACCAAAGTCCGGATCACCCTTGTCCAAGGGCTCGTATCCTGGCGCTTCCGGCCCCTTTGGCTCATCGTCTTCATCTCCCTTCTTCTTGTTCTTCTTCTTTTTGGGCGCGTCCTCTTGCGCCGGCTCCTTGTCTTTCTTCTTTTTCCGCCTCTCTTTGCCAGTCTTCTCCTGTGGCGGTGCCAGGAGCGGTGCTAGGGGCGGTACCGGGTGTTCCGGCATTGTCGCGTCCAGCGCTGGCGGCGGTAACCTGAACGGTGGCTTTGGATCGCCTTCTGCCTTGCAAGCTGCATCCGGCTTGCCTCCAGCCGGCAACCACTTGCCGTCAGCGCCCCGCGGTCTCGGGACTGACGGTCGCGCTTCCCACTGCTCGCACGCTCCGCGCCTGGAGGAGGATGGCAACAACTCCACACATGGCTGGCATTTCCCGCATCTTTGCCTGCGGAGGCGGGAAGGCGTACCCGGTGCAGACAAACCGCCAGGTGTTGGCGGAGATCTGCTTGGAGCCACGGCTTGCCCCATGCCTTGTTGCACCAACGTCGTCAGCTGCTGCACTGCATGAACCCATTGCGCCTGCGCGCGGTTGAAAGCCAGAGCCCTCTGGTCCATCTCTTGTCGATGTCTTTTTTCCGCGTTCTCCATCGCCGCGGTCAAGGCACGCAGCATCTCTTGCTGCTGGCCCTGCAACAGCAGCGATTGCTGCAAAAGCTCCATGACAATCGGCATTTCGGCGCCCTCTGCAGCACTCTGCGCCTCTCGTTGCCGCACGAGCTCTGCCGCCCGCCTCGCAACCTCCGCCTGCACCGCCCTTTCCTGCAACAACCTGGCCTGGCGCTCCAGGTCCTGCTGCTCACGCTCTCTGGCCTCGGCAATTCCTCTCAAAGCCGCCTGTCCACGCTGCCGAACTTCTGAAGAGTTGCTGCTGCTGTCCTCCGCCTCTTGCACTTCGTCCTCCGCCACGGGCTCTCGAGGCCCTGGCTCTTGCGCTTCATCCTCCGCCAGGGGCTCTGCCACGGGCTCTCCAGGCCCTGCAGCCAATGCCTCCACGGGCTCTCCAGGCCCCGCAGCCAATGCTGCTGCAACAGGCTCTCCAGGCCCTGCAGCCACAGCCGGCGCAGCTTCATCCAGAAGCTCATCCAAAACGTCTCGCTCCTCTGCCTGGTGGGCACTCGTAGCGCCATGGAGCTGCAGAAGCTTCATCAAGCCCATCAAAGCCATAGCCTGCAGCCATCCGCGAAGGCAAACCATGGCTGGATCCTCCAGCGGGGGTTGCGTGATGCCAAACTACGCCTTGCTACGTGCAGTGCGTGCTGCCTATGTTCGGGGCATGAGGGGGCACCTGGGCTGCAGCGACTGGCTGAGAGGGCCTGGCTGACATGCAATGCTGCCTCCATGTGTTCAACCACCTTGATCCAGCGCAGCGCGGACAACAATCTGAACCGCCATGCCACACAAAGTCCCGCAAAATGAGCTCACAAATACATGACAACCACCGACCGCAACCAGCGGCTGCAACCAGCGGCTGCAACCAGCGGCTGCAACCAGCGGCTGCAACCAGCGGCTGCAACCAGCGGCTGCAACCAGCGTCCCCGTGATGCACCGCCATAGGTGCACCACAGGTGCACCACAACCCCCGCCCGACCCGTGTGTGATATTCTGACGATCACTTCCGCCCGACCGTGATGCACCGCCGCAGGTGCACCACAGGTGCACCACAGGTGCATCACAGGTGCACCACAGGTGCACCACAGGTGCACCACAGGTGCACCACAGGTGCACCACACCCTCCAACTTTCAGCGATAACCCGCACAGCCCTGAAACTGCAACAAAAGTGCGGCCTCTCTCTTGTATAGCAGTGTCTCCGCCCCACAATCGATCGTCTACGCAGGAGCTGATTCAAAATCGAAAGGGTGTTGAGCCTACAGCCTCGGGTCAAAAACGAAAGATCGAGAGGGCTCAGGGCCGTAGGACGCAACGATCTTCGGCCTTTTAGGCCCAAAATTTTAGGACGAGCGAATCGGAGCTCCACGATTGTGGACCCGAGCGGAGCGAACGGAGCGAAGCGGAACGGACTGAGCGAGCGGAGCAAACGAAGCGGAGCGAAACGAACGAGGGAGCGGAGCGCAGCGGAGCGGACGAGTGAGTGGAGCGACGCGGAGTGCGCGGAGAGAGCGAAGGGAGTGCAGCGAGCGGAGTGAGGGTAGCGAGAGAGTCCACAATCGTGGAGCTCCGATTGCGAGGAAAATTTTGGGCCTAAAAGGCTGAAGATCGTTGCGTCCTACGGCCCTGAGCCCTCTCGATCTTTCGTTTTTGACCCGAGGCTGTAGGCTCAACACCCTTTCGATTTTGAATCAGCTCCTGCGTAGACGATCGATTGTGGGGCGGAGACACTGCTATACAAGAGAGAGCATGTCGGGTAGCTTGCCAAGCTCCGACACGTGCTCCTCTTGCTTCTGTCTCAGCTCGGCTATCTCCAAGAGGATGTTCTTCATCTTGTCCCCTAACGAGGAAATTTCCGTCTCGGAGCTCTTAACTGTCTGCAAAGATCCGTGCATCGTGTTCACGGCGGCCACCATGCGTTCGACCGCGGCCTCTGCACGGTCCTGGAATTTCTCGGGCTCCAAATCCTTGGCTTCCTTTGGCGGATCCTTGCCACGCTGATCTCCTTGTTCTGATAGTGCTTCATCTTTGGGCTTGCTTTCCTGCTGTGTTGGTGCTGTTGGATCTTGTGGTTGTTCTGTGGCCGTATGCTTTTTGCCAGTATTGCGGTCTGACCTTCCGTTGCCGCTGTCCTCCTCCATGAGACTGGCCCTGGCCTTCCTCCTCCTGCGCCTGTTCTCTTCTTCGCTGCGCCTGTTCTCTTCTTGCTGCCGGAGCTGTCCTCCTCCTGCTTGGCCCTTGTCTTGTTCTGCTGGTTCTGCTGTATGATGTACATGTAGCCAATGGCTACAATTGCCAAGGCAAGCAGCACCTCCGTGAGCGGCAGCTCCAAAGGGCTACGAAAAGCGTACTGCTTTGGGAAGCTTGAGATAGTTCTGCTGTCAGACGGGCGCACACTCACTGCATCACACAGCCATGGACTGCACATGCCGCACTGTTCCTGAAACTGTCATGTCCGTCTGAAGCACCGAGCTTAAAAGTGCCACTGCCCAGCCTCCAGTGAGCATGTTGGTGTGCTCGTCCGTCGCGCTTCTAGGTGAGGAGTACGTAGGCCTTTCGTGCTAGAGACATCACCGCCGAGCTTAAGACGTGCCACTTCCCAGCCTCCAGTCAGCATGTC